GAAACTGTTGACATATTGAGGCTTCACACCAGGAAACTCTTATTTCTTACACCAACTGACTCACTTTAGGCCCCACCAAACTATACATGCTTCTGCATTACATTCCTGAGAAGGTTCTGTTCCTAGAACACTGTTTCATTTTAAACCCCCTTGCATACAGGCACCTTCTGAAATTTGTTGGAGCTTTTGTCTATAACAGAAAAGATTCAAACACACTATTTGGTGTGGTCAAATCACAGTTTCCTTCTTCCCTTCTACTTGCAAGCTTTGCTTAAGCTGTTCATTCTCCCCTTTTCTACAAGGGTACTAGGATTTTGAAAGATGATTCAGAGATTCATGACTGCATTGACATACTGTTATTACACAAATAGCATATAATGTGGATAAAAAAATTAATATAGCCCTAGAAGCTTTCCTTCAGTGGAATGTGGTTCTTGAGGCAATTTATTATACTTTAAAGCTTTAGTCCTTTTTATTAGCAGTTCCATACACAAACTGGGGTAATTCTCCTTATTTATTTATATACCTGTGGTAAAATCAGATTACTTCCAGATAAAATAGTGGTTTACAGTCATTAGGAGAACTGCATCTTTTATCTGGACTCCTTTAAAATACATCATGAATATGATTACTCATAAGAAACAAAGTGATGCAAAGATACTTTTGCAAAGAGTCTACAGCAGCGTAAAACCTTGCCTTTCCTTGGTATCACCAACTTTTCTACTACCAAAAAACTGTGGAAGTCTATTTTACATTGAGGACCAAGATTCATAATGCTCTAATGCTATTTTAAAAGTGCAACTGTGTTCACAGGAAAAGAATGTGTTTAAAAGAGGTAATATATTGTATATTTGTATACAAATCCTTCTTTGAGGTAATGCTATAAGATTATTTGGCCTGCACAGTAACTAAATAACCATAAATGATCTTTCATGCATATGCAAATCCATCCCTCTAATCACCTTATTAATTATTTCAAAGATACTTGGAGGTCACCACTCATGGAAATTTCTATGCATGAAGCCTCATTAATACAAGACATCACACAGAGAGATGGGATAGATTTTTGTTGCTCTTTAAGAAGGGCAGAGAGTATAATCTGTAACATTTACTTTTTTAATTTTAATGACCAATGGAATTCAGCCAGCTCCTATCTATAAGAGCTTCCTCTGAGCTGATGCAGTGGGTTTGAGTTGTGGGGCTGCTGCCATGCTCCTGTGAGCAGCTAATCCTATCAATGCACTGCTACTGTGCTCAGAGCTCTGGTCCTCAGTGCTGGCTGCTCTCAGCTGGAGCACTGCTGCCTGGCACTCCATTAGCAGCTGAACACTAAGGAATAAAACGTTCTTCCAAAAATCACGGCAATGACACATTTTGTTTTGGAACAAAGGGAAGACACGGCACTATTGAGGTGATATAGCTCATCAGCTCAGATGATAGCTTTCTTTTGAAACCTTCTTATCTCCTGCTTAATTAGGCCTCATAACAGAAATCAAAGCAAAGCAAGGATATAACCACACAAAATACCTGAATGCAATGAAAAAAATGCATCCTCTGGCACATGTATGCCAGGAAGCAAGAATTTAAACGTACTTGAGAAGCCTGTTTATCTGAAATCCCTAGATCCTTTCTAGCTCAAGCTATCATATACTTGTGATGATAACACTGATCTTGTCTGTCACAGTGACCCTTTGCTGTAGCAGCTGCTGTTTATTTTTATTCTGTTATGTGTATGGTGCTTTCACCTCTAGGTTGATCCAATAAAAGATATAAAAAACTTGCTATGTTGGTACATTCCCTTGATAAAAATCGGGAACAGTGAGTCAAATGTTAATGGAAACTGCAGGCTATGTTCATTATGTTATCTCTATTTTTGAAAAACACTAGAATGAACAGAACTAATTGGAAGTGCCAACTATTTAACTATGCTTAATTACAAAATCAAACCCTCCTGTATAATTTGAGGGCAATGTGTGCACATATGCCTTGAAGAAATGTGCCAATTTTTAAGGAAATCTACTCTTACATGGAAATGATCAAATAACTTCTTAAAAGTCCAAACCTCAAACGTCAAGACATCACAAACACTATTTCAGCATTAGTCTGTAGTGTTTAAAAATCCATGTTTTAATGCAGACTCTTTTGAGCTGTCTGTGCAGCCTGGTCAGCTAACATAACATAAATCTCATCAGAGTGAATATGACATTGTTTTGTATTCCTTTTAGAAGAAGGCTCAAACAAACCTCTATCTTTTCAATAAAGCTTATACCTAATTTTTATTTTTTTTTTTTACTTTGAGTCATTCTCTATTAGATATAACATGTATTAAACCCACATTGCCAGAATAAGAAAGGTCTTTTCTTGGCATGTCCCATGGTGTTCATTCCTGTCAAGGAGAATTCATTTGAGGCTTCACTGAGGTAATTAGAAAAAGCTGTGTCAAATAGTGCTTTATCATACCTACATGTAAATATAAACTGCAAATTGCAGTTGCAAAATGAAGATTGTGAACTGTAGATTGTAAAAAGGCCACCTTATGCTATTCAGTAGAAGTACTATGATATATGGAAAAGAAAATCACATTGACGCTGTTGTGAAAGTTTCTTAACTGAATTAATTGATGAGAGCTGCTGCACCCATAGCTATGAATGAGGCTAAAACCCCTTGGGTCTGAGCATAGGAAGAGGTTGGCAATGCAGGCATGCCTCCTTCTCACAGGTATGATGAAACTCAGTCTTATGACTTTCTCAAAGAACAAAAAATAATCATTAGTTACTGACTCAAGTATAACTTAATATTAGAGACAACCAAATGACCTGTATATCAGAAAGTTAGGTTCAGATAGCTGCAGAAATGAACCATGAAGTTACAGCAGCTTTACTTAGTTTCATCACTCTGCAAAGCACCTTGAAAGAGAATACTTCCAAGTGCATTTTTTTAATGCAAATCTGCTAACATAACATAGACAACTGATAGAGGTAGCAATCAATGAGAGAGAAAAAGTACTGCAATTGTATTACTATTGCTACTGATACTAGAACTGCTTTAAGGTAGAGTATTTTAAAAACAACTTTCCAATATGGGGAGTTCTGAAACTTTGAGATTACGAATATTTCAGTCTTGCCATATTTAGCTATTATAACACTTAGAGTACAACACAGATGAGGCTAGACTGGCAGCAGTAGCTTCTTTCCCATTGCCTCAGCTGAACTCTATCTCACTTGAACAGCAGTACACCATCCTTTGTGCATCCTCTACAGCACCCCTTTCTTAAGCCAAACCCATGCCTTCCTCACCATTCCAAGACTGAAATTGCAACCTTGAGCATCCCAGCACCATCTTCTTGTGTATTCTCCTCATCCCTACTCTGCTTCCCCTATTCAATTCCCATAATGTTCAACTTCAGCAAACAGAAGAAAGAAAAAGACTGCCTGGCAACTGCCAATCAGGGGTAAAAACTTCTGAAAACTTCTTAATCTCCTCTCTGAGGAAAAAGATCTTCTGAACTGGAGTTGAAAATATATGGAAAAATCCTAATACAAGTTCAGTGCAGCTTGACTAGCAATGGGTTTACAGACAGAAGAGGCAGAAGGGTCATTAGTTTGACATATCAGCCTGAACTGGAGGAAGTTCTCTGACACCAGCCGCAGCAGCAAGGAGACCCACAAGTGAGGAGAAAGATGAGCTGCCTGCTGCACCACTGACATAACTGATTAACCTATGGAACTAAAAGTAGAAAATGGAAGAAAATCAATAAAAGAGGGGAAAAAAAGGAGGATTCTGCTCAAGTAGCTTATTAATTTGCGTGGGAGCAGCAAATGGATTAACAGCTGGAGAAGCAAGGAAGGAGGCTGAGAGCACAGACTGACCCCATAGTAATATGCTAATGTAAAGGTCAAGGAAAGAACACTGGGTATCAACTTCCTGTTTCTCATGACAAGTTTTCCTAGAAAACATTAAAAATTATTTTGTGTAGGATGACATCAGTGTGTAAATTTAGTAGCTGTTTAGGGGGAAGTAAAATAAGACCTGGCAACACAGCATACAAACAGCAATACTAGTGAAAGTGAAGAAACATTGGTTGCTTGCTCTTGAAGCAATTAAAAATAAATAATTTTAAATATTTCTTACTACTGTACTTTCAATATCCTCAAGGCATATTCTCAGATTAAATAGATGCCACTCTTCTAAGAACTTTTGTACATTTTTCTCCCATCCAGTGGGGTTTGAAACTTATTTATCAACCATTCAGGTAACCAGGCAAATCCATCTTCTACGCAGCTTCTAAGATGCTGTAAAATTATTCTCATACCATGATACAGCACTTGAGACAAACATATATGCTCCCATTCTAATTTAGCACCAAGAAAAGGGCTATGTATAGAATATACTTCTTCATAGCAAAATTTTTGACAATTTTGCAGTCCATATGCCAGTGTAATTAAATCAAACCTTCTATATTCTATTTAACTCTTTATTTAGATAAGTCAAACCTTGTTCCTTAGTCTAGTAAAACATGTAACTACGTTTCATTCAAAGAGGTGATAATTAGCAGTAATAACTTCACCAAATAGGGAGATTATTTAGAATTCTTGTTGCAGTCCTTTTTCATTAGTGCTTGAAGACAGACCAAGAAAGTTAATAATTTACTTAATTTGAAATTGAAAATGTGGAGGTCAAGCTGTTTATTTTTTTTTTTTAACCGGAGTATAATGCTATCATCTGCTTGCACTTCATGATTATAAAATACTAATGTGAAGAAAGTAAGCATTTGATTTTAAAAGAAATGCCCTTTAAAATCCAGTCAATTCTTCAGTTCACACACTTAGCAAAATCCACTTCAATATTCAAATATTTTCTCCAACAAACTGAACAACTCCTATGAACGCAGTATAATTCCACTGACATACACAAAACTAATAGGTGTTAACAAATCTTACCCTGAAATCAAAATCACATTAAAAAAATAAATTATTAAAAAAACCCCACCAGAAACATACCTACACAGGAGAGGGAATAGCCAAGCTCGGGGTCATGGATGAACTGGCGGTCATTCAGCATGGTCACACAGTACAAATGGAAGCAGTCCAGGCAAATGACATGGCGATGCACACATTGGAACACAAGCACAGGACTCCTGTTAAAGACCAAGCAGTAAGAGTGATAAACAAGGACTGGACAGAACTCCACAGAAAGTTAACTTCAAACTTCTAATTTAATAATGATTTTTAATTCACAGCACACAGGATTATTAGATATGAAAAATCAGATTTTACCCTGGCATATTGCAGGACTTTTAAAAAGGGATGGTTTCTGACATGAATCAGATATGAGGAAATAGAAGTAAAGTTTTACTGAAAGTTGAAACTTTACTGAGAACTGAAACCTAAACCAAGAAAAGGCCTTTAGTAACAGATATCCTTTGTATGAGGTGAGGAAAGATCATATATGGTAAAACATCAAATAGTAATAGGTAGGATAAAATAGGTATGTGACCATCTAGGAAAGCTAAAGATTTTGTGAAAACCATCATATGCCTTCAGCCTCTCGATGAAGCCATTTGAACCCTGCAACAAAGACATTCTCTTAGTAATAATGAGTAAAGCAATTCAGCTTCTGGTGAGAGATGTGGGATTCAATTTGGGAGCAAGACATCTAAACTTAAGTGCTGGGCAAAAATAGGGTAAGTGAGAAACTCCATTTGGTGAGTGAGAAATTGTCAATACACTTAGTGGACACTGGAGCTGATCAGCCTCCAGGTGCCTGCAGTAGGGTGAACTGAATCACCAATTTGTCTCCATTGCCTGTATGGGCTAAGCATCCATAGACCATTACAGGAGTGCAGACACCTATCACACATGCAGAGCTTAAATATGGCCTGGGAGAATACTGCTTGTGGAGATGCAGAAACACTTGAAATAAGTGAGGGCAAATAGTTTAACTCCTGAGTTGGTCTGCATTCAGAGACTCTCCAGTGATAGTCACAGCAAGGAGAACCAGAGAGTCAGTGGTTTCAAAAAGCCTGCCCAGGACCAGCACACGGAAGGTGAAAGAAAAATTGAGTACCACAGAACATAATGCACACACATGAAATGTGCCTTCACTGCAGGAACATGCTGATTAAACCTAATGGTTTTGCTCTAATATAAGGTAACTTCTGCTAACCCCTGATGGACATAACTGCCTGTTCCAAAGTAAAGTGTGCTATACATCGCTTCTTATCTTTCAGAGCTATTACCAACCTCAAGTCTGAAAATCGCAAAAAATAAAGAGAGATCTGTTAAATTGAACACAACAGTGAGATTCCCATCCAAATGCTGAATTTCTTTACTATTTTAATTTGCTTGTGAGTGAACACAGGCAGAAATTCAACCTGTGTTGAATTTCAATTTTTTTAGTAACTAGGGAGAATAATTATTTTTAAAAATAAAAGTATGAACTCTCACACATTTATGGTACTCCAGGAGACAAGTACTGAAATACAAAATGAAATACAGCAATACTTGTGAAAAAATCATTAGGGTTAGAAATACTGTTATGTTTTCTCTAAAACCTGAGATGATGCTTTGAAAATCTCCTGCAAGAGTAAAACACAAAGACTTCAATGTGGAAATACAAAATGTAATCAGTAATTTCACATACTGTACACGAGCATTAATCTTCCATGAAAATATGTTTTAGTATTGCACATACTATAGAATTCATGGCAGCGTGTTAGTATCTCCAAAAATATAATCTCTGTGTTTTAAGGATTTTCTTGAATAAAGCAGCTTAAAACTGAATTAAATAAAACCTTCCCATTACTAATCCTTATTAGTTGCCCACTTGCTTTTCTGAATGTACCAAATAATAAGTTTTAAAAGACAGCTGTAAGGCAAAATGAAAAGCTGATCTCTATGGGTTTAGCTCTTGATGGTCCCTAAATCATTATGGAGAAGTCTACAAAAGTCCCTATGGTCACCAGTCAAATGTAGCCTTCAGAAAAACTAGAAACACTTTAGAAAAACCCCTAATATTTCTTATTAAATTGCAGATATAATCAAATTTGCCTACAGTTTTAATGGATGTTTAACTTTAAGTGTTAATTGCTATTTTTTATTACTTCAGCGTCTGAGTATCTTTTCTAGTTTCATGGGAAGCTCTCTGGTTCGAAATTTACACCTCTCTGACCTTCAATTCAAAGAAAAAATACATGTGTTTGCTGAGATGCATAAGAGAAAGCCATGGAAAGTGGAGCATCTTAAAGCCAGGCCAGAAATGAAAATAGTGTTATTAGTATTTCCACCTAAACTTGTACAAAATCAATACAAACAGCACTTCATTATACAAATGAACTACGATGCTCAGTTTCTGCTGTAAATTATTTTGTGATAATTGATTTTGCTTCTTAATGTATCACAACTGTCAAAAATCAAACCTAAAGTCTCCAGAAGGGGCACAGCCATACATGTACATATTTAAACTGCATCTTTCTTTATCTTAAATTTATCTTAAATAAACTGCATCTTTATTTTATCTCAAAAAATGCTATATTTTAACACCATCAAACTCCAAACAATGTGTACAATATAGATGTAAATCTGTTTTCTGACTGTGTCAGAAAAAACAAGTTTAGCTTTCACAGCTCTTACACTGCCCCCTAATTTTCAGCCAGCCCCCTAATTTGAGGAGTTCAATCTGTATGCAAGGCAGATTGTTTAAAATTCATTCGGCATTGGAACAATTACTGCAGCCCAACATTTGCGGATTTTGTATCAAAAGAATGCAATTCTAGTTTAAAAGGGACATAAAAGTCTTGTTCCTGAGATCAGTAAAGATGAAGATGGAGAGATTATGATCACAATGCCCAGGTGAAGTTAGTGAATACTCATTTTGGATACACCCAAGAGTTAGCCTTATTTGTATCAAACACAATTTATTTTAGAAAGGAGTATTATGAAAGTAAAAAAAATTGCCACAGTTCAACAAGGTCCCTTCCTCAGTCTAACACAACAGGCTAGTAATGCAAATCTGATACATATTTTAGAAATTGTTTCATAGGTTCCATTTACATAATGTGTTTGTCTGAATTAGAGGCTTCATGAGAATAATATATAAGAAAAATGTTTCTCACAGCAAGGGATAAATTGGTCCTTTTTGTTCACCAATTAGGAATGTAACCACTTTTAAAAATTGAAAATCCAACATTACAATGCATCACTGGAAATTTCCATAATAAGTAACTCACTCCTGTGCTTGGATTCCTTTTTGTTAGAATTTTATCAACATGCATTGACTTAAATGAAAAAGAAAGGGGACGCTAAATCTTTCTGCTTTGTGTTAGTACTGTTGGATAACTGTGGCTCAACAACAGCGGGGGTGGAAGTGATTTCTGGTCCATAAGCCCTTTCCTCCTTCCCTCCAGAGCAGCAAGGTGCAGGTAATTCTCAGACTACCACCACAAGTTACTGGCTATAGAAAGATACAAAGATTTGATCTTGTTTAGATAAGAAGCATTCTGAGAAATTGATTGTTCTAGTACACCCTAAAAATCTCATGATGGTTATTATTCTATAGAGATTGAGTCCAATGGATATGAGGGGCTACTTAGCATAAGGAATTATTTGTAAACATAACAGTGGGTCAGTTGATATATCTTGCAATGCCTACTGAAAAATACATGGGGAAATTTCTCTCTTTCTTGGTCCTTACTCTTAATGAAAAAAGCTAGATTGAATAAAGGTTAAACAGCACACCACATATATGAGGCCATTATTTTTTAGAAAATGTGAGTAGCCACAGTCTGAAGCACTTTGGGGCAAGGAATACATCTAAGCCTGTAGAAGTATTTGTAAATCATGTTGGACAAATCTATGAAACTGCCTTGAGGTCATTTCTTGGTGACAGCTGGATTTTTGTCACCTCCTCAAAATCTTAACCAAATAATAATAAAAAACTTTAGAAGATGTCTATAAAGCTGCCTTGATGGGATTACAGTCAGCAAAGCAAAAATAGCCATGTGGAGTTCCTTTCTCGGCAGTAAATAAATATGAATGCACACAGCTATATCAGAGTCTTTAACCTCACCTATGAGTACTATATTTATCGTAAAACACGTCTGTATTTCTAGCACATTTTTCCACTTTGCCAATCTTCCTGTACTTCAAAAAGCTTCCTAGGTAAGCACTGAAATAATTTAATTTCTAAGTGGATCTCCATGTCATTCCAAAGCAGATCTGTTTTAGGTTTCAGGTCAGCACAACTGAATAAAAGGTGAATCACTGAAAAAAATGTGTAAGGGGGGAAAAAAAAAAAGGAAAACAAACTTTAGTGACACAGATACTACAGGCACTCTCCTGCTTCATAAACAATCAAAAGAATTAAACAGAAATAATGTCCTTGAGCAGCAGCCAATCTGTTTTGGCTCTATCCTTGTAGCAGAACAAGATTACAATGCCTAAATAAGCCAAATTATTCATCCATCACGTGCTTACTCATAGAACTGTACATAGGAGAATATAGTCTTCTAATGTCTACAAAACTGGAGACACTCTGGCTTTCCTATATACTTTCTTACATATTATATACTATATACTTCCTACACAAAAATTGCCATAGTCATTTGTTGTTTAGAATTTATACAGTTTGGAGGAAAGTAGAACAGCAAATCGTGCTTTTTAATGAGCAATATGCTATTATGGATTAGTAGGAACAGTGACCTATCAATTACAGGCAATTTGTGAGTAAAAATACAGGCCCCAAATATTTAGACAGGGGTAGGCATTTGAAAAGGGTATAGAGACCTTACCTGAGCAAAGAAAAAGCACTAAGAAAGTAGTATCAGATATGACTTTGCAGTCAAGAATCCATCCTTCATGGACTTTTAGGAACAACAGAAAACACGTCCCTACTTTTCCTTTCCTAAGGGATGAAAATACATCTTTACATAGACTGTGCTAATTAAAAAATCCAGTATATAGAAATATAGTGTTATCAGAAAATAAACATGTCAAATCTCTTAAAACAATAAAAACAACAACAAAAAAATCCCTGTTTTTTAGTCTTTGATCATTTGCCACACAATGCATCAAAGGTCATGAAATGAAGATTATGAACACCATGAGACATCACTGTGCAAGCTTAAATTTTCTGGCTGTG